TATTGAAATTATGACTTTTTAGCAGTGTCGCCAAAGTATCTAACTTATCGCTAATTTGATTGGCATGATTCATTTAAATACTCTTGTGTCCAAAAAAGTTTGTGATATTTTGGGCATACATAAAATTTTATAAAATTTTTGTCTAATCCAAGAAGTTTTGAAACACAATAATTCGATTTAGGAAAATTTGCAAAGTAATCAGAATTAATATAATTTAATACAGAATATAAAAAATTAAAAAGAATTTCTGTTGATATTTTAGCAAGATCCGTTGCATGTTTAAAAAGTAAAATCCATAAACAATCCATTGAATAATAATTGGAGCAGTAAATAATAAACATAATATATTACTTGGATCTGATTCATAATGGATAGAAAAATCAGTAGTCAACGAATTTGCTTCATGCTCAGTATCTTCATCATTATACTCAGTATTTTCATCATCATATTCACTACTCATATAGTCCTCAGTTTCATTATCAATAATAGTAGAGTTATCTGTTTTATCTTTATAATTGTCTAAATTCAAACTATTATCTAATAGATCAAATTGTGTCTCATGCTCACTGTCGATATCTGATTCAATAATCATATCATTAGCTAGACCAAATTGTGTAAGATCTATATTATCAGAAAACTTTTTTTTTTTTCTTTGATTTGATCCTTTTGCATAATCATCAAAGTTTAAAGAATCAAAGCTTTGATTTTGTTCTGTGTACTCAAATACTGAAGCAAAATTAGGTTCAGAAATTTCTATATTTTCAGATATGAGAGATGAATCTGTCAAAGTATCTGTATTTTTTGATATCGTGGATAAGTCTGGTTAAAAAACTAGAGGACATTCGCTATTATTGGTAAAATTTTCTTGGATTATTGATGTCGATGGTATAGGGTCATCAGACATATATAAATCAAATTGATTATTCCAAGTTCTTTGATCGACCCTTTTTCCATTACACTCTGGACATATACAAATATATATCATTTGCGAAAGAGTAAAAAATTTTGCTTCAAGAAAAAAATTTTTGCTTTTAGAGAATAAGGCTTAAGATATTATTTATTAGAAAAAAATTTTTTTATTCAAATTTTCTATTTGAGTCAGATTACTAATCTGAAATTCGGTTGATATTTTTGATGATCAGGTCAGTCACAATTAGGCTCTATTTTTTGTAAGTAATAAATTGTCAATTTATGATGTAATTATAATTCATAAATATTAGTATTGTATATTGAGAGTTTTAATCAGATTTTAAATCTATATAAACTTATAGTGGTTACGTAATTGTTTATCTAATTAAATAGATATATAAATAATTCAATTTTTAACTTTTAATCGTGACTTTTCTTATTTTTTATTCCAAAAATCGCAAACAAAAATTCTTAATTATAATGTCTAAAACAACTAATTTTCAAATATATACAGCAATACAATCTCTCGAAGATCTTGTAAAAACACAATATGTAGAACAACAAAAACGTTTAGATAATTAAGATCAGCTATTAAAGAACTTCGAAGAAGAAGTAAAATTACAACTTGCAAATTAACAAAATAAAATAAATGAATTGGCAATTATTGTTCAACAAAGAGAATTTGATAATTCTGAAGAAGTTAATAACGGGCAACTATTCAATATGATAAATTCTGAGCTAGTTGGTCTAAATGATCATAGCAGTCTTATTAGCGATAAGTTAGATACTTTGGCGACACTGCTAAAAAGTCATAATTTCAATACTCATGACAAAAGTAATTTTTCTTTATTTCGATATCCAAAAGCTATTAAACAAATTAAAAAAAGGGCTTACAATGAACAAAGTGAAAAGAAATCTGTTCAGAATGAAGAATAAATTGCAAATACAAGATTCTCTTATCATGAAACACATCCAACTCTAGTTCATTATCTTCATCGTAAAATTAAATTACACCATAATAAAAAAATTGCATATAATAATAAAACCTTACCTGCAAATCAAATGGTCGGCGAAGAATATCTTCCAGATGTTACTAATACACCTACTGCTGGAAATAATCCAATTATTATTGATGTAGATTATTTTATGAAAGATTGGGAAGTTCAGAAGAATACTAACGGTATTTAGTACTGTAATTATTTACTTTAATTTTTTTTTCTCAATTGCTATATGTGTAATATATTTTTTTTAAGAATTAGCATTTGAACAACCTTGGACACATGAAGTAATTACAGACATTGTAGCTCAATATATTCAACATTTACATAAAGATTATCTTGCCTTAAAAAAGAATCCTGATGCTTTTAGCAATCGAAATATTAAACAACGCCATGATAATCGTCTTACTCTCGTAAGAAAAAATTTTATAAGCTTTAAATATGTATTTCAAATTTTCAATTTAAATTTCATTTTTAGAAATCTAAAGCATTATTAAAAGCTTTGGATCAATATTCCGATGAAGAAAATTTACACTATCCAAAAGAAGAAATTAAACATATTCTTCATAAGCGTTGTATGTCTCCAGAACTAACTGATGAAGATAATGAACTAGAGTTGGATGTGTTTCATGATAAGAGAATCTTGTATTTGCAATTTAT